CCCCCCCCTTTCCCCCCCCCCCCCCCTACACATCTGTAATGAAGTTCTCCATCAACCATGGACATAAAATATTTTGATATTGATCTGTATTTGGTCAATGTTGTCAATGTTAACATTATAAAATCCTTTTGTTCTTCCTTTTGAAAGAACAATAATAAATAATGGTGCTCCTGTTTGTGTTTGTATGTGTTCTACTGTATATACCATTTACTAATTTCCAGGATAGCCAAAACAGGAGTATGTGTAAGCATTTGTTACTAGAGGATTATTACTCAGCTTTCTCTTTCTCTTCTAAATTTACCCAGGCCCAAAATAAAAAGGCTGTTTTAGATGCACATTGGCATAAAGATGAGAAGGAAAGCAGGAATAAGAGTGTGTGTATTTGCTATGATTTCTGACAAAGTGCCCTGTGCTCAAATGTGACTGATCACTGTGTAATGTGGAAGTTGTCAAGAATGAATGACATAACGTATAGTGAATCTCTCCAGGAGAATGCAGCTCTGACTTGACTATTTCCATTTGTCAGGACTGTTTGTTTCCAGTCTATCTGAGGACTTATCAACTCTTAGATCTCTCTTTTTTTTTTTTCTTTTTTTTCTTTCTTTTCACTGCTGACTTTTTAATCCCTTTCTTTCTAGAGTTACCTCACTCACTCCAATATCTGCTTCTCTACTTCTGTTTTCTTGTTGCATTGTGTAGATTTTGGAAATACCATGACCCTTCTTGATTCTAAACGTGTGTTGTTCCCCCCCTGCAGTTCTGGCATCTTCTCAGCCGGGTAACTGCTTTGTCAATCCCAGCTAGTTTTGCTGTCTTGGTCTCTCTCTTCCAAACTCCCAGTCTCACTGGTTTGGGTTTGGTTTTTTTTTTTTCCCTCAGACTTGATCCAAGTGATATGACCTCTCCTCTATCCATCTTTGCTGTTCTTCTGAAAAGTCTCTTTTAAAAAAGTTTCTTGTCATTTTTCAGAATAGGTGTTTCATGTACAAGGTTGAGGTGTTTCATATCTGTTCTCATTTCCTAGTATTCCTACTCCCTCAGGTACCTCACTTCAGCTCTGCTGATCTCCTTTGCTCCCCATATCTCTCGCTATACTTTGTGTTTTCCATCTGGAATGTAGCATTGTTAACTTTATCTTTCTTAAAAACAAAACAAAAACCCCACAAACAAC